AAGAACTTGAACATTCGACAGAGTACATGATAGTTCTAGAAACGTTGCGTCATAGTAGTCACGTGACTCGCTGACGCAACACTTATTTGTAAAATACCTTAACACTAAAGAACCTAATATTTATAGGAAAATAATTCTACAGAATTGTTGGGGAATAACAGGAAATATAATCACATATAAAAATGCTTTAATAATGGTCTTTTGGTTTAAACAATAAAACATTTTTTTATACAACATTTGTATCAAGTTTTGAGATTTATATGTAAATCATTTTCTGCAGTATTCTTTTTTTACTCTATGAAAGATAATAAATGGTAAAAACGTACATAATCAGCTCTTTGAATTATAAAAATTACTTGCTTTAGAATTTTTTTATGGATATTTCTAAAAATCATGCAAACCTTTGGTTTTGCTTTTGGGAATTCATGCCCTTCTTTGATGTGCTTGAAGTTTAAAGGAGCTCTATCAGGCTTCCTGTTTAGTGTAAATGATTCCCAGACAGCTGTGTGCACAGGATTTGTAGGAACGTCTAATCCGAGCACGGCCACGACAGCTAACGGTCGGCAAGTCAACTCTGATGGAAGATCTCCAATACTGAGTATTGCCATTCTTTTAGGTTTTCTGTAAAATCATATACAATTAAACTCTCACTTTCAATGTATTTAATAACACACTTCAATTGACTTACAACAAAAAAAAGCACATCTTAAGAAGATAATGTGAATGAATCACTAAAATTATGTGCTAACAGAAAATAAATTGTGTCTATAAAGTCATACTTCATTTTAACAGAGTTAGAAAAAAACTAGTTGAAGCACGACTTAATCATATAAAAACATCACGGACTTACGCTGCCAAAGAAAAGTCTGATTTAATGCTAGAGTAATAGGATTGGAAAAAAGGATTTAATATTTAAATATAGGAGTAACTAGTTCACTCTTTTGAAACTAGGTGAAAACTTTGTTCTTCAACACTTTATGTTGGTTAAATTTATCAATACACAGAATAGTGATTTGATGTGTGTTACTATAAGCTCTCTTTAAAATCTTTTCCATGGATGTGAGGGACTGTATTTAACTTAAATATTTTATTGTGTTTTATTTTTGTGATGGAGGGTTCTGTCTTAAAGGGCCAGATGGTCCTCTGTAATTCCACTGACAGGGAGGGGCAGTCTTTAAGGGCCAAATGGTCCTCTGTAATTCCACTGAGAATGAGGGGCAGTCTTAAAGGGTCATATGGTCCTCTGTAATTCCACTGTGAGGGAAGGCCAGTCTTAAAGGGCCATATGGTCCTCTGTAATTCCACTGTGAGGGAGGGCCAGTCTTAAAGGGCCAAATGGTCCTCTGTAATTCCACTGAGAATGAGGGCCAGTCTTAAAGGGCCAAATGGTCCTCTGTAATTCCACTGAGAATGAGGGGCAGTCTTAAAGGACCAAATGGTCTTCTGTAATTCCACTGTGAGGGAAGGCCAGTCTTAAAGGACCAAATGGTCCTCTGTAATTCAACTTTTTCTTACGTTCTCAAGATAAGAATAAATGCCTTGAATGACCAAATGTACTCATTCTATGGCAAACGTACATCTACCATATTTTTATAAGCTTGCAGAATGGTTTCCTGATGAAGTATAGCACATGTTCCAAGTCTGAATTCACAGATGGATGTGGCCAAAAGCATTTAGCTTCGGTTGGTACTAACAGTAGTTGTTCATCGAGTGTTAACAAAAAGCTGCCTTCTTGTTTATTGTAATGTTAATATATGGAATTCAAATGTCACATTTGGATGAGTGCATGTGTTTTTGCTTTTATTGTTTTGGATAAAAGGGGGCAGCTTTCATAGATAATATACTAATATTACCTTGATGAATTCAACTTTGATGACAAAGAACCCATTTTGAGACTAATAATGGTTAGAAACGGTCTCCAACCATTATTAATATTAACTTGCTTGTATTATTAATGTAACCACCAAACTATTTATTTCCTGATCTTAAATGTGCAGGTTCTTAAGATATTAGAATGAATTAGTCTAACAATAATGCTGAAAGCTGTTATCACTAGAATTCACACATTTTTCACCTAACACCCGAAAGTAGTAATTCTATACTCTTACAGTATCTGTTTAATTAAGAAAGACCCTCATTATAGTGTTTATTAGCTATGGAACCAAATTACATGTAGTTTTGAAATAATTATAACAAATCAGACTGAGCTGATAACATAAAATAGTTTAAAGGATACAACTAAATCATAGAAATGTAAGTGGTTATGACATTTGAGTAAAATTAGGAACAATATAATAACTTATAAACATGAGAGCTAGTGTAAAGTTTAAAATGCATAGTTCAGTATCATATACCTCACGTTATCAACAAAAGTTATATAGTATACTTGTGGTACTTTATTTTCTTCTCTGATGTAATAAACATGAATATTTATTTGGAAATTGAAATTAACTATGAATTTTTTAAATACAGATTATCATACAACTTTACAAGTAATATTAAAAAGCTTGGACTGGAGGTATATAGTAACTAATGGATTGATTCGATTTAGATACTATAGTTAATAAAACTGTAATAGTTTTTTTTAAATAATGTTAACACTGATATAGTTAATAAAATTGAATCTCTTTAAATTATTCTAAATACTGTCAGTGTCAACAACTATCATTGTATCAATATCATACTCGTATAGATTTTATAAAATATCTGAATGAGAAATACAATTCAAAGTAAGAGTAAAATCGCTTCGTTATTCACGTGAAACTATCACTGTATCAGAAAGTCTCATCGTGATTCTAATTCTTCTAGTTCTACTTGCGGTCAGTTACACAATCTGGAAGTTTAAGTTTAGAAGTTGCAGTTTCATCAATTGATGTCAAAAGTTACACCAAGCCTACACATTTTTGTCTACCGCAAATTCCATTTCTCTAGAGTATATCTACACCATTTCCTAAACCTCTACTGTCCGGGAATATGTATGTTTCAAAATTATTTAAAACAAAAACGATATCATCAATACTTGTAAACACATTTCACATTTAATTATAAAATGTTACGAATAATATTAGCATTAACATTTACCAGTCACAAACTATATGATCAAGAGACAAGAGCGACATCTTAAATTTACTTTTCACAACAATATTTTTTATTTCCATCTAACATATTTTGAAGATTCATTCTAAAGCCTATTGAATCTGCTTATTTCATAAAATGCAAAAGAAGTTGGGTTTGATACCATCAATTATTTTCTTACTAGCCGTTTTCTAGCGTTCTATAGTTTCTTTATTACTGTAGCTATGTTTGTTTGTTTGTTTGTTATGGATTTCGCGCAAAGCTACACGAGGACTATCTGCGCTAGCCGTCCCTAATTTAACAGTGTAAGACTAGAGGGAAGGTAGCTAGTCATCACCACCCATCGCCAACTCTTGGGCTATTCTTTTACTAACTGTAGCTATGAAATTTTAACATTATGTATAGAGACAACAAAAGACCTATTGGACATGAAAAGTTGCTTCCCTTATAATATATAATTGTAAAAAACGCCCATAGAAACTGCAAAACACGAAATGTTAAGTCGCAACTTTGCATGTATCTTCCAATGGACTCATCAAACCTTCATGCCAAATTTGGTGAAGATCTATCAACAGGGAGCGAAGTAGTGGTAAAAAAACGGCAAAAATACAAAAATTCCCATAAAAAATAAAAATTTGTATGTATCTCCCTATGGACCCAATGAATCTCCATACCAAATTTGGTGAAGATCCATTCACAGGAGGTGAGGTAGTAGTAAAGAACGCCCAGAAAAGCCGCAAACCACAAAATGCAAAACTGAAAATGTGTATGTACCCTCGCATGGAACTAATGAACCTCCATATCAACTTTGGTGAAAATCTATCCACACCCTGCGAAGTAGCTACATGAACATACAACAGACAATACTATTACATTTATATAGTTGTTGTTGTTTTAATTAATCACAAGGCTACACAAAGGACTATTTATGCTCTGCCCACCACGGGTATCGAAACCCGGTTTCTAGTGGTAGAAGTCCGCAGACATACCAAAAATCTTAAAGCCAGCCCTTATCGTTCTTATAGTTATCAAGCTTTCTTTTAAACTCACTTAAATTTACTGCCACACAACATCTGAAGGCAACCCATTCCAGAGGCCAACCATCCTATTATAAAAATATAACTGTCTTAGCTGAAGATGCCTCCTTCCTTGCCAAAATTTATATTTGTGTCCCCGGGTCCTACCATTCTTGCCGTTAAGTATGAAAAAAGATGATACATCAACACTATCAATTCCCCTTACAATTTTAAACAATTCGATCAGATCCCCTCTGAAAAATTGTATTACTTTTGTTAGTTTGGTGCATAGTTTTTTCTGATAAATGTTTGGTAGGTCTGTAGTACTGTAACTTGATAAAAATATTAATTGGGGGAGTGATGGGCTAAAGGGCTCTGATTTCTTTGTGCTATATTTTGAAGATAATAGAATGAAAAGATACAAGTTTGAGATTTGGAACAACAACGACAATAAAACAGGCTGTGCTCCAGTTAAGACAGTTTGATTTTTCTAAGGGGGGGGGTGATTGACTTACTGAATGACTTGCCACCGGCAGTAGTGGAGGTCAATACTTTATAGGAGCTTAAAAGTAATATCGACGATTTTATTAAAAAATAAAGGGTAGATTCAAATTTTTCTTTTTTTTCAAGGGGTGGTGTGAAAAGACAGCTTTGATGGACCAAATGGTGTCTTGTTGTTCGTATATTGTGGTATGTTGTTTAAGTTATGTTTTTTTATGTAAACGTTTTTATCAACTTTAACTGGAGGAGGTTTTGAAATCACGTGATGAAAACGTAGATCAATATCTGGCTTCTTCTTGAAAGTTCACAAAGCAATATAAAAACATGAGTTTGTGAGAGTAAGGTGTTGAGATTGTTGACTGGTTATTGAGTCAGTTGTATATTTTAAGTTTGTGTTTTAAAGTAATGAAGATACCAGAAGTATCATACATTCTAGAATAGTTAAAAGCTTTAATATCTAGAAGAGTCAAAGTAGAGATTTGTAGCTTGAGGAAATAATGTCAACACTATGTCTCAAATCATAAGCTTCTTTGTTTATTTTTTTAGCGATTGCATTTTCACTTTAAGCTACCTATTTAGTTTCTGCATTTTTTAAATATCCCTATTCCTCCTTTTTTAAATCAACAATTTTTAATAATCTTGTTTTTATTATGAGTTAGACATATTAGACTATGGTTCTCAACAGTGTACAGTTGTAGTTTTTATTTTGCTATAAATTGTAAATTTACGAAAAAGTTCTAAATAAGGTTCAAAAATGTTCCATGGTTATTGTTACGACAGCGGAGGTCACGTGACGCTAGTAACACGTCATGCACTTCTAGAACGTTCATGAAACCTCGGGAGGTTGCTAGATTTCGGTATTCTTGTACATATCAGACGGTCAGGACGTGACGGCAACAATGTGTAATTGAACTACGGACAGAGAAAGACGTATTGTTGAGTCGAGCACATGAGACGTTCGCTGTCATA